TTCTGGGTGGATAAAGTGTGTTGTTGGCTGATAAATTATGAAGTTTTAACATGATTACTTAAAAACAATTCATGTAATAAGAATTGTAGAGTTATCATTTCCAAACACCTGGAGCAATCTACGATGTCAAAAAAAGATAAATGTCACTGTTCAGATGTTGAGGGAGGAATATATACTTAATATTACCAGAATCAAATTCTTTCATTCATCATAAAGATTATAGATATAAATATGAAATATCTTAATCATTATTACATGATTTAACATTAAATATATAAACAATTTAGTATTTATGTATCAAAAAGTAATATTTAAAAAAAAAAAAAACTTTGTTTCTACGGGTTTTTTGTCTGTCTTCTCTAATTAATGGTGTTGCACAGTGTCACTCTTGCCCGGTTCCTTGGCTGTTTTTTTTTTTTTTAGTTTCCCTTCTTCACATATATATACTGAGAAATATGTTTCAGTCATTTTCACATACTAAAGATTTTAAATTATATATATCGATTTTTAATTTGCAATATTTTGGGGTACTGCGCCACCTTCCTACACTAGACAATGAAATATTTTATTTAAATAGAGATATATATGTGCAAGGTTTCATTACATGTGTAATATATGACACTGGGTTCTTACAAAACAATGCTTGTCTTAGTATGGAATTTTGGGACAATCCTCTTACATACTTTAAAATTACCGATTTGTTTAATTTTTCAAAGTGCCAAAATCTACGCACGTGGTCGGCATTAAACATAGAATTAACTTTGGACATCTTAATAAAAGAAGCTCATTCTAAAGTTGTAACAGACAAAATAATTATCTTAACTTACACAGAAGTAAGTAGAGGTAGGTAGGCTGAAGGGGAAAACAAAATTGTCTGATTTCAACCTTTATGTATGAACAAAAGTGTGTCTTCTCTGCTGCTGTCAGTGCCATATGTGAAATTCTTTCTGATCCAGCTTTTTGAGAATTAAAAAGTTTTTTGGCAATTTTACAGTGCACTAAAATTTTGAATAGAAAATTTTCCAGCATTATGAGGCTAAAAATGGCCCCATAATCGATGATTCAGGGGCATACAGTTTTTGCGATGTCCCTCCATTTCTCAGTTTGTTTGTCTGCAAAAACTTAAACCTTGTCCATAACTTTTAATTGGTTGGAGTTATGGCCTTCATATTTCACATGTTTATTTCTTGTGACAAGGCTAGATACCAACATATTTGACCTTTTGACCTTGAAGTTTGACCCACTTTTGCAAAATTTTACCGAACTTTAACCTTGGTCATAACTGTGAATTTCTATTAATAAGACCTTTCCTGGGGTACAAATATTTTTTACCATGACTTTGGAGTTTGGCCTCTTGGGAAAAAAAAACTGTAACCTTGGCCATAAGTTTTGAATGGTTGGAGCTAGGGCTTTCATATTATACATATGTATTCCTTGTGACAAGACCTTCCCTTGGGTACCAACAATTTTGACTTTATGACCTTGACCTTGTCACTTGCAGAAAATGTGCGAAATTTGTCTGATCCGTAACTTTCTAATGAAGAAACATTGGCATGTCCTACTTCATTTTCAGAAAAAAAAACTTATTTCTAACCAGAGAAAGAATCCTTACCTTGATTCAAGGTTGTTTAGTCAAGTTCAAGGTCACTTTCAGAAAAATGTATAATTCTTGGTCATATTTTGAAATGGAGATATAATGATTGCTGATGGTTTTCAGTTGTGGCATGGCCTTACCTCAAGGTCATTTGGATAAGTTTAAGGTCACTGGCCTAAAAAGTGTATAACTCATGTCTGGCCCTTAACTCTCTCATGGAGAAATTTTGTAATGTGATACTTGTCACAAATATTGCCTATGCCCTGGGGTTGTTTCATAACCTTGACCCATGATGATTTGGTTAAGTTCAAGGTCATGGTAGAAAAAGTGTTAAATTTGTGCCCTTCCTAATGTTCTTATGGAGTAACAGTGGATGTTCATGCTTCACAAAAATATTACTAAATGGCCTAAAGATATGCCTTTACCTTATCAAAAGTCATTTGGACAAGTTCAAGGTCACCAACAGAAAAGTGAGTAATTTGTGTCAGGTTTGTAATGGAAAAAATGTTGGAAGATGAGACTTCCAAAGATTACTCTTGAGTTGAGGATGTGATATAACCTTGCCCCAGTGTCATTTGAATAAGTTCAAGATTGCTGAAAGAAAAGTGTCAAATTCATGTCAGGTCCATTACTTTCCAATGGAGAAACATGATTTTATAATTTTATGAGCTTGCTTCTCTTTATTGTATTCACTGTTGACACCTTTTGTATGGATAGAGTATTCACAGGCACCACATGTAAGCCAAGGTAAATCCCTTAAATGAATAAATTATTATTAAACTTTTTAAATTTCAGTTCACAATCTATGTACAACTTATCAGGCTATTGTCTTTGACAATCTGCTCTTAATTGTAAAGACAATAACCAAGGATTTCCACATGAATTTGCTCTTGCTGTTATTCAGTGAGAAAATGAATTACTGACAAAGTTGGCATCATTCTCTCATGAACTTCAAGTATTCCTCTCTGATACTGAAAGCAAATGAAGAATTGATGCTGTTGAAATTGGCAATTATGACACATAATCTGCTTTTGCATTTTGTGCTGAATACTTGGCATGTCACTTTACTTGTTTCTGGTTTTAACTTTGATACTGTGATTTTTCCCATTGTTTTTTTTTTTTTTGTTTTTTTTTTTTTTTGTTAAGAATTTGAATTCTTTGCAAAATATTTAGGACTGTACACAGGTAAGAAGCCAATTTGTGGATGCAAATCTGATGTAGCTAAATGTTTTGTTTTTGATTTTTGACAAGTCTCACAACTCTCTCAATTACACTAGGCAATCACTTATGGCATGACCTTGACCATTTTAGATATGACCTTGTATTAAGATCATGACACACATGAGGGTCTTAAACAAAAAAATTACTCAATTTTCAAGGGTTCTAAAACATTGACTTTTACATGATTACAATATCTCTCAGCCCACTGATCTTGAACCTTAAGATATGACATTGAGTCAAACCTTGACACACTTGTTGGTCATCAGCAACAACAAATATTTCTAGTAAGATTGGAAAAGTTGTAAGCCCAATCCTCATTCACTATAGAAGTGACCTTGAGCTTTGAGATATAACCTTGAGACAATATCATGGCACACTGTTTAGGTTATAGACAGCAACATAATTTTAAATGTTTGAATCAAGGGATAAATGAAGAGTTATGACCAAAGCATGATTTTATAACAGACAGACAGACAAAAAATCATGCCAAAACCACTGGAGACACATAAAACAGAGAAGCCTGTCTTATATTTTTCCTTTACTCAAGGCCATTTGAAATTATGGTGTTTTAAATATGAATGTTGCCCTAACTTCCTAAATTTCAATTCAATTCAATTCATTGATGATCACCATGTTGGTATACAGTCAAAATAAGAAATCAAATGACAGACAACAGACAAAAGAATAGAAAAAATATTATAACATAATGGCTACAGCATGCAAGACAAATTTACATGATTCTCTATAGTCCATGGATTTGTTTCCTCTGCATGAAGCATCTATCTAAATTTCTATTGATTCAGTCTGTAAGTTTGCTCAATCTGAAAGTTAAATTTGCTCAAATTGTGATTCTTTTGCAGAATATAAAACAATCATTTAAATAATGTTTAAAATATTTTTTTTAGGGATGTCAAAATATTTATTTTCCTTAGTCGAATATTCGATTGCATTATTCGAACGATAGTCGAATATATTCGAATCTTTTTCGGAAAATAAAATTTTATTTCAAACCTCTTTGGTACATGACGTATTTTTAATCTCAAAACTGTTTTTTTCCTCAAATTTATTAAAAAGTAACAACAAAATTAATGTTACACACCGATGTTCACATGCACCTAAAATGTGGATCTATAGCGTGTTTATATTAACTAAATCTTGTCCATAAATCAGTCTGTAAAGACGTTTTTAGTAAGCATAAAAAATGACAGTACTATATATTTTTTAAAGCTTATAAATTAACTGGGGGAAGGGGGTTTAAAACACACGCTGTCCACACGCCAAATGTCTGTGATAATGTTAAACAGTTGAACTTACTTTTTGTCCCCGCTATCAAAATGTCTTTGAAATTTGTAAAAGAATATTAATTTTATAATAATTATTGTAGCGTCCAAACATGTCACGGCTATAATGGGTACATCATTTGAGATCAAGTCCAATTAATAATTTTACAAACAAAGCCCAGTATACTGAGATAATTTTATTACAAAAACATCTTATCGACTGTGTCTGAAGAATGACGGTTTCTCAATATTAGGATGAGAATTCCATATCTTTATCACTCTTTTATTGAATTTATTTATTCGAATGTCGTTTCGTTATTCGATCGTCGGTGCATTCGACTGATAGTCGAATAGTCGACTATTCGTTGACATCCCTAATTTTTTTCAATGCCTTACACAATTAATTGAATAAACAATCACAGAATCAAAAAGTCGTAGGAGAAGGCTTTGTGTAACTATTAAGGAATATTGATCCCAATGTAACAAAATGTGGTGGAATGAATCCATACATGCTGCTATCATCAGATAGACTTATTCTTGACACATGGCTCATTTAAGTCAATGTTATAGATGGTATACTGGGATACACTAAACCTGGTTATACATTCCAGTTTGCATTATGTCTGGGAACTTCCAGTGCTTATCAATATTGGGACTCTGGACTATAAGTTTGTTACTCGGTATTGATTAGTGGTCATTTTTGCTGCAGTGAGATCCCATTCAAAGGATATGACATTTTATTGCTCAGTTAATGAGCAGCTGATATTATTTGGAAAGTAAAAAACACACTGATTGGACTTGTTACATAGTGTTCTTTGGAATTATGTTGGCATGGCCTCTTGAGAAGAATAATTGTTTAATTGGCTGAGTTTAAAAGTGGTTGGGATCGAAAGAAGGCGTTTTATGTGAGAATAATAAACTTTTCTCTCGTTATTGATGGTCTTGGAATGTGTTATTTTGTAAGAAACTTAAAAATATTGACCAAAAAAAATTATGATGAGGATTGGAGTATGCCAGATTTAGAACGACGTACGGTTCCTTTTTCCTGAGGATAACTAAATCTCAGCATTATTATGGCCGCATAGAAAAGGATATAATAGAATGTAATGTCTGATGGATTGCCTCGGCAATTTATGTTGACACTGATGTTATTTCATTTAAGTGATTTCTTTCTCGTCAATTTTTTCTTAACTATGCACAGCAACTAGGTCAGGTCTTGTTGCTCTGTTCAATGGTTTGGGACATTTCCTTTGGTTATTGGGCTGGACCCAGGAAAGAACCTAGAGCCATGACCGTAAGATATTCCACCTGGGGTCTATGTGAGGAGGATTTCGAGGGGATTTCTTTACAGGAGTTTGAATCTGCTGAGAGCAGTATACCTCTGTTGTCTGAGTACAGAAAAAATACAGGTTTGGCTATTAGTATAATTAATTGCTTTCAATTGGCCTATCCTTGCGTGTTTAGAAAATGTGTCTTGATAAATAGATATGTTGTATTTTATTGACTGAATGGACTCTATTTCTCCCTAGGTATTGTCATTTTTTGGTATACTATATAGACATACTCTTTTCCTTAGATTAATTTACACTACGTATGTGGTGATAAATTTTTTTGCAAAAATTTGTCAAAGCAGACTTAATGTACAATTAAGAAATACAGTAGTACTGCAAGTAATCTGCGTAATTTTCTACCCAAAGATTGAACAGAAATTGTGTATAAAATATAAAACTGTAAACTGTAAAAATTATTACATTTGGTTCAGCACATAACATGTAAGAAAGCTTAAATATACATGTACAGTACAAGACATATTTAGCATTGTACTTGATTTAGGAGTAACTCCTAAATCAAGTACAATGCTAAATATGTCTTGTACTGTACATGTATATTTATATGACGCACATTCACATAAACATACACTAAATCCAATATTTAGCTGAAAAAATTATTACAGACAATCTGACAAATATTGTGCAGTACACCCTAAATACAAGTATATATTTATATACCTCTCAATTTACCCATGATTCTTATGATTCTGACCCCCTAAATAGGGTTTCATGATTTACATGAAAAATATTCCTATTTTCATCTTTCAGTTTATTTTTTTTTTTATTATGAAAAATGGAGAAGTACAGACACTTGTCCAATATTTTGGACAATTGGGTAGGAAACTACTGATAACATTTATTTGGGGTTGGGAGCTCTGCATTTAACAGTAATTTGCATATATACAGTAAAACTCGTTTACTGTACGAACACGGATATAGCGAATTCACGGATATAGCGAATTTTTCTTGGATCCCCAGCTATATAAATTTAACGAATTTCTTATACGGAGATAATGAATTATGGATATAGCGAAGTAATTTCACAGGTCCCAGTGACTTCGTTATAACCAAGTTTTGCTGTATACCACAAATCCACATGAAATAATTATCACATATGGTCAATTGTCAGGTTATCATCCTCATGGTAACACACACAGAAATAGATAATTATTACTTACCTCATGGTTAATATATTAACACTTTCTCTGAAACAGACATGAAACATATATAGCTGGGGTATTTTTCTAAGAAACAAAAATTAAAAATTTCATTTTCATTGCATTCCCCTAAGTGGTTTCAATTTCTCTTAATTCATACTTGAGACATGCCCACTTTTCTGATAAAGACATGGTAGCTCAGTCGGTAGAGCGCTTGTTCCATTTAGGAATGTCATGTGTTCAGATCATACGACTGACCGAAGTCGATAAAAAAATAGGTAGCAACTGTTTCTTCACCAAGTGCTGGGCACTTTGAAATGAAAGTTGCGGTTCCTTCGGATGAGACCTTAAAAACTGAGGCCCCATGTCACGGTAGGCATGGGCACGATAAAGAACCCTCACTGCTCAATGGCCCTAAGTGCTGAGTAAAGGTCTAAATTTGAAGCCCTTCACCGGTTTATGGTGAAGTCTCTATAAAAGTGAAAATTTTTCGAACAGAACGTAAAACAACATACAATCAATCAATCTAATAATAACAAAATAAGGAAACCAAGAAATAGTACATATTAGTCATATACATGATCCCTTATGGTTATGAAGGTATAACCCACGATTTTATGGCCTTTTTGATGCAACTTAAAGACCTTAGATGATGGTCATGACACATCAACCATTAGCCAGGGAAACTACTGTTCAGTAGATTATAAAATTTTTTGCTGCAAGATAAGTGTTTGGTATTTTAAACGAGAAAAATTTTTCATGAATTTGGTAAATGTCTTACATAATCTTTATTAATGAAAATATTTGCTAGAATGAAATTTTTGTGATCAGACCATCTTGCGTAATTATGGGAAAATAAAGTTCTCAGGAATAAAAAGTGATTTACGTTATTGTAAGCAGGAAGTAAATTGTTGTGTGAAGCAAAAAGTGATTTTCTTTGGGAGTTTCAGACAGTACACAGGTTAAATTCAAAATACCTTGAACTCTGACAGTTGAAGACGATCGACTCACTGTAAAACTTAAAAAGAACAAGAGTTTGAGATTTTAAGTTAGAGTTAAAGTGGAAATTTCCTGGTTACTTGATTGGGTTTTTAAAATTTGTCTAACTGGAAGTTACTGATTTTCATTAAGGCAGTACTACAATTATACATGTGTGCTTTAAAAACAATATTCTAGTAATTCCTTTGTATTTTTAGCTTGGTAAATTTGTTTGATTATATAGGAGAAAAAAATAGGGACCATTCTAGGGCAGTATCAATATATCGATACGTAACGATATATAAGAATGTATCGTATCGAAAAAATACCTTCCAATACGTATTGGATTTTCTCATAATTCTGTGAAAAAGTTGGGAATTTCAATCACCAAAGGTTATATTTTCACTGTTTTGAATTAAAATTGATCAATAATGATATAATCAATAAGGAGATAGCACATCTTAGATATATATATTACAAAATACATTGACAACTTTATTTTTACATGTTGTTTTACAGTCATTTAGTTGGAATTTGATGTGTGATTTGTAGAGACAATGAGACAAGACCTTTGAAATGGGTATAAAACAATTAGTTTTCATAAAGTTCATGCATTTAATGATTTATAAGACGATTTGATAGACTTGTTAAAGAATCCAATATATAGGATATCGCTTTATAAAATATTGTATCGTTATCGAATTTTTTTGCTCAATACACTGCCCCTAGACCATTCACTCACTTCCAAGAGATCATGATCTTCAAAAGAAGTTTGAGTCATCAAGAGTCATCTGTAATAGCTACAAATGACATGACCTTATGTCTTAACCTTGAATTTGGCCTCATGTATGTATATGCTTGAAAAGGTAAAGCTGATTAGGATGAACCCAGGAAGGCCATTATTAGGTAGTAGAGACCACATGTGTTCAATATTTTGTAATTAAAAAAAGTGGCACTTGTGTTTTGGAAGCTATAATTAGGATAAGAAAATACTAGCGTAAAAGATCCTCTGTATAATCTATAATAGTGGATATGATATTTGCTAACCAGATAACTGAGTAATTGGAGAAATGGCAATAAGTTGCAGATCTCAGATTTTTTTTTCAGGCGTTTTCAAAATACAGCTTTGTTTGCTGAAGTATTCAGAATTCTATGTGTTAAATTTTAAGTATTGATAATTTTACAGCTTCCTTTATTCAATAGCATGTTCATTCTAATAGGTTCTCAGCGGTTTAATTCAAGTGTGTGTGAGAGGTCACAGGTTCAAATCCCAGTCTAGTTGACACTTTTTAGCATTTAGCTATTATATCAATGATTTGAACTCTCGGGTGGTTTAAGAAAGACTCAGTGATGTTAACCAAATGAGAAGTTCAAGTTGTAATGATTTCCATCTTCGATTACTTGGTATATCTAATCTCATTATATTTATATAGTTTTTGGCAAATCTGCCTCCACTTGGTAGTACATGTAGACCTTTCCATGGCCTTATTTGTACCATATATTCTTATTAAGGTTCATTGACCCTCTTATAAGAGAGGTAACTCTCACTAGGATAAATTACTTTTCATTTGTAAAATTGTAAGTTCAAAAGACAAATTTTGCCCCATGAGGCATGCTGAAATTGGGTGCATTTCAATTATACATTAGATTTCTTTTGGAAATTATCAGCATTAAAGCAAAATTTCACATGAGAGATGAAGGATGAGAACCTTTTAGAACAATGATCAATTGGTCCTCTGATGCACAGAAAATATTACAGGAATCAGGATTCCAAATAGTGACATTACAATTTTAGTCCCCATAAATATTTCATAGTGTAATTAGGTCTTTCCACCTTTCTGTGGAAAGACCTATTGATTTTCTTCTGTTTATTAGGTCTTTCCACCTTTCTGTGGAAAGACCTATTGAAATGCTTATGTTTATTATTATTATTATTATTTTTCCGTTACCGCCTTTTGAACCGAAAGACTTTTTGAAGAACTTTATAGTTCATGATACTCGACATCAAAAGTTATTTCGAAAAACTACCCAACGAGTATGACCTATGACCCCTTTCGGAGTTCTTGCCCTTTAAACGAAAAACCTTGTTATCGCTACTCCTTCGAAATCATAAACCGCAGAGGTACGAAACCTTAACCAATGTCTTCGACTAACTGAGTACTCGCTTCAAGGTTTCACTGCGAAAGAATTCGTCGACCCCTTTTATGAGTTATTGCCCCTGGACGTTTCTCATGTTTACGAATAATGAAAAACTTTTCTAAACGACAAGTCGTAAAGACATGGGACCAACTGCATAAGATTCTTTGACCTTAGACCTTGAACTTAAGGTCAAGGTCAAAGGTCAAGGTCATTCAAAATATAAGAAAATAAGCTCTTTTTATAGCTCTTTTGTCTTTCAACATATACTACATATCTTTGCATATTTAATATGTCCTTCTAAAAGTATTATAAAAATTTCATTCTTGTCCCCCAAGCTTGACCCATTCAAAAGTTGTCATCCCTTTCGCAATAAAACCTTGTTATCGCTACTCCTCCGAAACCGTAAACCGTAGACATTCCAAACCTTCATCAGTGTCTTCGACTCATTTAGTACTCTCTTCAATCTATACAGTGCGAAAGGGTTCTTCGGCCCCTTCCATGAGTTACTGTCCCTGAAAGTTTTTGCTGCTTACATTTAATGAACTTTTTTTTTAAAACGGTGTATTCTAGAGACATGGGACCAACTACATCGGCATATTTGACCTTTGACCTTGAAATATAGGTCAAGGTCAAAGGTCAAGGTCATTTAAAAACATAAGAAATTCCTTATATATGTGTACAATATAGCAATAAACCAAGTGACCTTGAACTTTGACCTTGACCTTTGACCTTGGGTCAAATGGAAAAGTAAGGACATGCATTCAGCTTCAGTATCAGGTAAAAACATAGAAAGTAAAGATTTCTGGGTTTGTTTGTGTGTTTTTTTTTGTTTTTTTTTTTTTTTAAATGACCTTGACCTTTGACCTTGACCTTTGACCTTGACCCAAAGGTCACAATCAGGCTTAAGGATATGGAAGTAGTTACAATTCTTAGTTTAAAAGAGGCATAAAATAAATAATTCATCCCCCCCCCCCTCTTAAAAAAAAAAAAAAAAAATCACATCAACAACAACGTAGAATATTACTCTAGAATCCAAACCAGACCTCGGATCGACACCAGATTTGGTACAAATGTAGTATAGACCTCAGAAAAACTTTCTGGAGAGTTTTACGGTGAGTCCTATAATTTTATAAAAGTCTTGAAGTTTCACGGCAAAAACTACAAGTTCTGTTGTGTTTGAAATTTAAGTGCAGGTGAACGAAGAAATGATCTAAACCTTTTATCGGCTATTTCTTCAGATGTCGTTAGTAGCATTTAATTCTCCTGATATGATACAACATTTTAATACCCAGCATTCTCTCTTTCTTTTACATTTGGAATTTATTTGATTTTTATTTAGAATTAATCAGTTTCCAGAATTAGCGATTTTCGGTATATTAAAAACAATTCTCGCTTTCATTGTCGTCTTTCCCTTCTAAAAATGCATGTTGGGAATTTAATTTGGGCTACACATATTTAATTTAACCCAAAGAAATGCTTATTTAAATGTTTCATATTTATTTCAGGATATTCAGTCAGAAATGTTAAAATCCGAACCCGATCTTTTAAGCTTACAAGGAAGCTATTCACAAAAAAATCAGCATGCTCACAATATCGATGAATCAGGCTACAGTCCATGAATACATTTTCATTAGGGAACAGTGTTAACGTTTTCTCACGCAGCCCGTCCCTTATTATTTTGTATACTGCTTGCAAATTCAGGAACTATTTCCTTTTACGGAACTTCTTTCTTCCCCTACCGATTCTAAAAATACGCTTGCAATTATTCTATAGTCCTAAACATTTTAACATACTATTGTTATCGGAGTGCGTGGCCTAATGGTTAGCGCACCTGCCTTTCAATCCAAGGGTTTTGGGTTCGATCCCTGCTGGAGGAGCAATTTTTTTTTTTTTTTTTTTTTTTTTTAATTTTGGGCATTTTTCTACTTTTTCTCAACCCAAGTGACACGGAAACACTTAAAAAGGTGGAAAGGCCTCTAATTGTTCTTTGAACAATTAGTCTCCTAGTTATTATTATTATTCTTCTTCTTCTTATTATTATTTTTCTTCCGCTGATTTTTTGTTTCGACATTTATCGAAAAGATTTTTTGTTCATCGTAAAGGTCATAAAAAGTTATGAACAAATTTGACCCAACGCATATAACCTATGACCTCTTTCGCAGTTATTGCCCCTTTCGCTAGAAACCTTGTTATCGCTACTCCTCTGAAACCGTAAACCATAGAGGTACGAAACCTTCACCAATGTCTTCGACTAATTGAGGAGACTCTTCAATCTATTCATTACGAAAGGATTCATTGAGCCCTTTTATGAGTTATTGCCCCTGAAAGTTTTTGAAGTTTATAATTAATGAAAAATTTTCAAAACGATAAGCCGTAGAGACATGAAACTAACTGCATTAGATTCCTTAACCCTAGACCTTGAAGTTTATGTCAAGGTCAAAGGTCAAGGTCATTCCAAATAAGAGAAATAAAGCTCTTTTTATAGCTCTTCTGTCTTTCAACATATACAGTACATCTTTGCATCTTTAATATGTACTTTGAAAACTATTTCAAAGATTTCAATCTGGTCCCCTTAGCTTAACCCTTTTAAAAGTTATTGCCCCTTGTGCAAAAAACCTTGTTATCGCTACTCCTCTGAAACCGTAAACCGCAGAGACACGAAACCTTCACTAATGTATTCAGTGTCTTTAGACACAACTTCAATCTATTCAGTGCGAAAGTATCCGATGACCCCTTATATGAGTTATCGCCCTTTAACGTCTTTGCGCTTACTAGTAAACCTTATAACTTTAAAGCTAAAAGTCGTAGAAGCATGGGGTTAATTGTAATGTGACCCTTGGTCTTTGACCTTGAATATTTGTTCAAGGTCAAAGGTCAAGGTCATTTCAAAATTTTTAAATTTTCATTTTTTCCATCTCTCAAGCCATTTCTGGTTTCTTTTGTATAAAAATAAAGAGTAGAGAGTTAAATATGAAGAATATATGAAATTTAAAGGTGGAAAGACCTCTAATTGTTCGAGAACAATTAGTCTACTAGTTCTTTTCCTTTTTTTGCTTTCTTTTCTTTTGAGTTTCACCTATTGACCTTAAGAAAAAGAAAATTCATTTTGGTGTGACTAACTGGTTAATTGTTCAGAACTAAGTTAACGATAATGTCATTGCCACCCTTCATTAATTAATAGCTTATGTTTGCAAAGAAAAAATAATATGAAATTCTGAGACAATGTGGTGCAATTGTATTTGGTGTCTACAATATCTGTTCAATAATTGCTTTTCAAAATTGGAGAGATTTTTATGCAGCAGTTCAAATGAACTTATACTGAAAAGTGCATGCTTGCTTTATGTCAAAACAAGATCATTAATTTCTTGTTATACATGTAGCAATCTTATAGACCTTCAGATTCTCAGAGGATATGCAAACACTTTATAGTTACAATGAAGAGCATGTCTTTTTGAATGAATTTCTTAAGAGATTTCAATTATGATAATGCTTGCCATTTTGAAAAACATTTTAGTTTTTCTCTTTGCTACCATAGTGCCAATTTTATAGCAATTATCTTCTTTCAGTGAAGTCGTTGGGACATAAGAGTTATTGTGGTATAAATGCAGTGTAGACATTTTTTTCCTCATCTGTAAGATCATGCTTTCCGAAAGGCCATATTGATTTTTACTATCATTGTCCTTTTGAGAGACCATTCCTGAATCTCTAAGTTGTAATAATTCTCAAAAATCAATGCCCCCTGGTAGATAAGAGAGCCGAGTTTATAACATTTTGCCCAGTTGAAGCGCATTGCTGTGGCATGCTGAAAGGGACCTGCTGAATGAGCAGTCCAGAAGACTGAGAAAAAGTATTCAGATTTACTAAATTGCTTCCGTGCATCCAAAGTTGTACAACCTGAAATTAACTTAAGAATTACACATATTAGTTGCAGGCAACTGATACATTCATTCAATTTTTCCATCAGTATAGGCAGATATGCAGAGTAAAGACCTGTATGTATTTGATATTAAACAAAGTTATATGGTGTAGAAAAATGTTTATACAGCAGTCAAAGTTAAGAGTCATAATGCATAAATGCATACTGTTTATAAAAAATGGTGATGTTTTAGCAAAAAAATTAATGAAATTATTGATAATTATAAATAAATTTCTAATATAATTAAGCAAGGTAATTCTCACTAGGTTGTCACAAGGCTTTAATGTATAAGGATGTACATTGTACTAGAGCGGAGTTCCTATTAAGAAACTTTTTATTTAGGGTGGATGTAACAAGGGAGGGAATCTATTGAATTTTTATGGGAATAATTGAATACATACAATTAACAAAGGAAATAAATATGTATGCTGATGTGGTAAGTTGGGTTCTATCTAATTACGTGTTCTTATTATGTGTGCTTTATAAATATAAAGTCCAATTAAGGATAAATAACACAAAAAGAAACTTTTTTCAGAGATCAGCAATATTTCTCATAGATTTATTTTCAAATACTTAGGTAACATGAATAATGTTTGTCAGGTAAAGTGGGAGAATTTTTAAAGATTTTGTCACAATCTTTTAAATATAAATGCGTGCAAAATTTTATTTAGAATTACATAGAAAACTACACAAAGTCACTTATCTAAGCACCTGAAAGAAAAATTACTCTTTCTTTATATTTTTGATTAGGGATTTATTATTTATGTCATTTCTATTCAAAATCAGTCAAAAAATATATATTGTATACATGCATCAAATTTTTGTTTGTGGTATATCAACTTATATGTATATTTTTAAAGAGAGAATTTGGCCAGTTAATCTGGTCACATCTTATTAATACATTTATAAATGTAATTAGTGTCGGACTATATTATATATTACTTACTTCATATTTACCATTTGAATGTTGTAGTAAGTCTTTAGCCTAAATTATTCATACTTTATTCTGGTATATAGAACAGAAGTGAACATTGCTTAAAAAGTAATTAATTTCATGGAATTCACACATGCACATAAATTTAGTCTCGCTACCAATTAGGTTCATATATCTTTGTGGGACGTTGATTGATTATTTGAAAAGAAACTTAATTTTAAAGACACTCTTGAAGAAAATACTAATGATTCAATAATTGAGATAAAAATTTAAAATAAAATGCATTTTTTAAAAATTCATTTTGCACAACCTGTACTTTTTATACCTTTTTCATTTTCAGCACAGAGATGATATTAAAATAAAGAAATCGCTTTTACAAATTTGAAATTCAATGTGAAGGAAATATTAAGATAAACGTTGTTAATATCATGAGTAAGGAACATCCTTCCCCCTCCCCCCACCCATCCCCTACCCCATCCTCCTTCAAAAAAAAAAGAATTGATAAAATTAGACAAAAGAAAGCAGTAACATTAAATTTTCAGGGTATATTTTGTTAAATGAGAACCAAAATAACTTAAATTGGCAGACATTAACAAAACTGCTTAAAAACACAGTAAATTATTTTTAGAATCACGTCGCCCAAGTGACCCTACCTTCTTAAACAGTGAGACCAAGCTCTTAAACGAACTGTCCCCAGCAGGTCCTAATGGAAAAACTGACGCCTTCCTTTACAATTCTACTACAGATGTTAGACAGCCACCTGCAAGTCCTAGCTTCTACGGAAGCTCCAAGTATGATCTCCAACCCCCACCAAGCCCTGGACTGCTTAGCATCAATTCAGCATGGAGTGAGCTGGCCAAATTGCATTCTAGAAGGTCGTCTTTTGGGGACATTTCTGAAACAAGGTATTGTGAATTATTTTTAAAAAAAACTTTAAAGAGCTACAGATAGTTGTTGATTATAAATACATACATGTAAGGCAGTGACTTAAATATTATGCTTATTTTGATTAAGGTGAAGGTTTTTAGGTTTTTAATTACCATTTCAAGGGAATTAAGGGGTCATAATAGATGAAAATTAAGATTCTGATTTTTTAGTAAAATTAATGTATTCTTGCTGTCAGATGTAGAATGTATAAAATATATTGAGTAATGATTTGTAATTGAATTTTTGATCTAAGAAGACTGAAATCTCCTCACATAATAGTTAAGGGTCATTGTATTTTGAGTTGAAGGAAGTTTTTACATTTTTTTTTTGTTTCTTGACCCTATCCGTTGAATAAGTATCAAGTTACATTACGTATTCTCAAAATAGGTTTTGACTTTACCTATTTGTTCCAGGAGTAACAGTTTATCCAATGTGAGTAGCAGTCTGAGTCAGTACCTCCATGACTTGGTCCAGGCTTTCTCCAGCCGGACAGAGAAGATCAAAGAGAATACCATCCAACCCCCCACCCCCTCCTCCCTGTCGGAGGTTGATGCTCTGTCAGAAGCTAACTCAGGTACCTGATCAAACATTGATAGGTTATACAGTCAAACCTCATCATTTCAAACATGAAAAATTTCAAATGCTGAGCAATGGAGACATTGAGGTTTCAATGCATAAAGAAAATTGAATTGGTGGGGACTTCCAACTCCTTTCAACTCCAGAGTTAGTTGTTCAAGATACCAATAAAGTTAAACCTGTGTTTGCTATTTCAGTATGCAGAAATGCATTATTTCATGGCATTTTCTACTTTCTCTTTTTTCAATACTCTGTTCAAAAATTGAACTTTGGAGAGTTAAAAGGTTGATAATTGCAATGAAGCCATTCACAATATGCAGATAGACCAATATGTGAAAGTTTTGTTTTAATTACAGCAGTTTCTGTGACAGAAGATGAGTCTGCCAGACAGAATAGAATTAACAACTTTTACCCAGAGCACATGATGCTGGGGAAGGATGGCCTGCCTACAGAGGAGGAGCTTGACAAGTTTTACATGGACTGGGGCTGCTGCAAGTCCCGACTCCCCACTTGCTGCAAATATTTACAGTTTCCCTCCATTTTAGAACCTCAAAGTTAGTACATTTGTATGATTTAACACCTATGGCTGCATTTATTCAGCCACATTTCTGCATGTTGATGTACTTAAAGATATCTAAAAAAAGGACATTAACTAGGTATGGTGAAGAAACATTCCGGTCATAGAAAATGTTATTTTCCATTTCTCTCAGTAAGGGGAGAAGAAAATTACCTTGAATATTTTAAAGGAAAGATTTTAAAAATAGGAAAAAAAATTATTATTATTATTTTGGAAGTCAAATTTCAAGTGTGACCTCAACCTTTCAATATCCGTGAAGATTTAGTTGAATTAAAAGTAAATCAAATGCACTTTGACGTCTGTTAATTTAAACAAAGAATCAAGCTTTCATGATATATTCTAATATATAGTTATGATTATTTCTTTTATAGGTAAGATTTACATGAGTTGGTTGGCCCTCGTTGCTCTGTGCTTTACCTACAATGTGTCGGTGATTCCATTACGAGGGATTTTTCCCTACCAGACTGACAAAAACGTGATATATTGGCTGATTTGTGATTATTTTTGTGACTTTGTCTACCTGTTAGATATTCTTGTGTTCAAACCAAGACTGACATTCCTGAATAGTGGACTTATGGAAGTATGAATATTTTTTCATCAAACATGTCGATTTGTACATTTCTTTTCGATCTCTTAACCTAATCTGAACTTAATAATCATCTTTACCAGCAATTCAAAAACATTCAAATTGTGCAGATTAGTGCCCAGATCAGAAATGTAGTTGACACAGTTTTATTTTCATTTTGCAGGAGGATCAGAGGCTAACAAAGAAGAATTATATGAAGAAAAGCATGTTTAAGGTAAGACCTCTATGTCTGGTTAAACTGAGCTAAAAAGCAGTGAAGTTTTAGTTTCATAGTATTATAAATAAATATCTAATCTTATTTTGAGAGTTATCCCCCTTTTATGATTTCAGTTTGATGTTTTATCCCTGCTGCCTTTGGATCTTTTCTACTTTAAAGTTGGAGTTGTTCCTTGGCTAAGGTTTCCCAGATATTTTAAAGTAAGTTATCTTACATTTATAGTATGTAACATTAACATAAAGCATAATTCTACATACGGTAACTCTGAATGCATCACTTTTGCACCATTTTAGTCAAAACTTCAGATGTTTGCTCAGAGAACACACAAGTTGTATCACAGATTTTATATTACAGATTCAGACTTTCTGGGAGTTTTTTGAGCGCTGTGATCAAGCTGTTAGATCAGCACACATCCTTAGGTTTGTTATCTTTATAAGGCACTTGAAATTTGATTTTTACCACATGAATGCAATTACTTTTTAGCTCACCTCAACAAAGTTGGGGGAGCTTATGTAATACCGTCAGTGTTGGTGTCGGCGTCCCAGGTTAAAGTTTTTTGAGCAGTTTTCTTTTCAAGTACTTTTATGCCCTATATTAATCAGAGATGCATGGAGGATGCTTCTAGTGTGTTTCATTGTACCAGTCAAGGTTTGATGCTGCAATTTCAGATAAAGAATGAACAGGTTAATGTTTTTGGAGCAGGTTAAAGTTTTGGAGCAGGTCTCATTTCCAAGTAACTATAGGCCCTATATTGACCAAACTTGCCTGGATGATTCATCTAAGGATGCACACTACAGAACATGCTTCAGATGCTGGATCTGACCTACATTTTCCGGATGAGTGACAAGATTAAAGTTTTTGGAACAGATCTGATTTCCAAGTTACTATAAGCCCTAGGGCTGTCACGGTTCCAATATTTTTCGGGTCGGTTCGGTTCTGAAAATTTTCGGTTCGGTTTTGGGTTTTTCGGTTCTGTTATTTACCTCTATTATAAACCTTAATTTCATGAATTTAACATAAAAAATCTCTATTTGTAACGTTACATTCACCTTTAAAACAAATCTTATCCATGTTAACGTCTTGACATCGGTGTTTAGGACCACTAGGCTGACTATTAGCTTCAGTCTGACCATTCTTGATTGTTTTGATTATTATCTAATCCTTTCGTGACGAGTGTTTTGTCATGGAATGAAGTATAATTCAGTTGTGATGTTTATTTATCACTGTTATTGTCATCCTTCTTTTGATTTTGACAACATTTTTTGTATAAAACATATTCTAATATATAAACCAGACCCAACCGAAATCTGGAAAAATGGAACCGAAAACAACTTGGACCGCGGTTTTCGGTTATTTCGGGGAACCGTGACAGCCCTAATAAGCCCTATATTGACCAAACTTGAATGGATGATACATCTAAGGATCCACACTACTGGAATTGCTTTGGATGCTGGAGCTGACTTGTATTTTCCAGATGAGTGACCAGATTAAAGTTTTGGGAGCAGGTCTCATTTCCAAGTAACTTTAAGTCCTATGTTGACCAACTTTCATAAATGATACATCCAAGGATACACACTACTAGACTTGCTTCAGATGCTGGATCTGACATATATTTTCCAGATGAGTGACCAGGTTAAAGTTTTTGAAGATCTCATTTCCAAGTAACTATAAACCCTATATTGACTAAATTTGCATGAATGATACATCTAAGGATGTACACTACTGGACTTGCTTCAGATGCTGGATCTGACCTACATTTTCCGGATGAGTGACCAGGTTAAAGTTTTCGGAGCAGATCTCATTTCCAAGTAACTATAAGGCCTATCTGAACCAAACTTGCATGGATGATACACCTAAGGATGCACACTACTTGACTTACTTCAGATACTGGATCTGACCTATATCATCACAGGATGAACACTCTCAAACTTGCTTCAGATGCTGGATTTGACTTACATTTTCTGGATGAGTGACTAGTTTAAATTTTTAAATAAGTCCATTCCCAAGTAATTGCAAGCCCTATCAGACCCAAATTGCATAAATGTTGCATCTAGGGATGCACATTACTAGCTTATTAGTTTAGTGTGGGACTTTTCTTTACTTAAAGACAACATTCGTTGAGGTGAGCTCTGTAATCTCTGATCAACTATGTTTTTAAGTACGTGTACATGTATTCGTGTATTTAATTATGAAGTTGTTTTATTGATTGGTTGATAGATGGATTTGTTGATTGATGAATTTGAGGTTACATATTTGCAGAAAGCCCTAGATTTCCAAAAAAAAACACCATAATATGAGTAGACTATTACCATACAATTTGGACTGTATCCATCATAATTTATAAATTTCAGAATTACAAAAACAGTGATCTACATGTTGTTCTTGATCCACGTTGAGACCTGCGGTTATTATGCTATGTCTGTGTATGAAGGAATCGGTAGCAACAGATGGGTGTACAATGGTGTCGGCAATGCGTATGTATAACAAATCAAAGGGCAGAAAAAAGGAGCTTTGTGTGATGTGATTTTTTTTTCATATAGCATTTTACTTTTTAAAAATTTTCACCTTGCACTTTACAATTAAGATTTTTTAATGTTGCAATTTAAAATCGGCTACAGAGATATTGAGACAAATTTATTAGAAAGTATCAGTTGCCAAGAAAAAATTTTACTTCAAAAGAAGTAACACTTAAATTCACTATCTGCGCAGCACAGTTAAGGCTGCAGTAAGGAGGTGGGGCCTAATTTATACGGGAAATGCTTACTATGACATCACACAAAAATATAAGTTATTCAAATTACCACAAAATGAAACGATTTGCTATCTTAAACTGTTGAATAGCTTTAAACTATATCACTACTAACTAGTGCATGTATTATTGTTGTTGGTTAAATCCCACACAGCAATATATAAACGATTCACTGATCGCAATGCACTTGTCAATGTGACGTCATATCGTAAAATTTGACGCAGTTTGTATGCAGTGAGAGGCGGATCAAGTTATATTTATATAATGAAAAATGTATTTTGTAATTAAATAAAATATAAATTGTAGATCTATAAGAGGCCATTAACTTGAATGCGATGTCTATTTTATGATTTTATTCATATACTTCCCGTACATTCCCTAGACTGTCGTATATTTGTATGCAAATTCATTGAAGGGTAATGGAAGGGTCGTAATAAATCGATATATTGCAAGGGCATACCCTCAATGAATTATGACAAGCTTTCACACATAAACTCAAGAAGTATGAAGATATTTGAAAAGTGCTGCGAACCTGTTGAAATATTGCAAATGAATTAATTATATCTATATTTAATGTACTTGACCAGCAAAATATTCAACATACAGTCTAACAAATGTAATTTTAGCAATTAGATAGTAGAATCTATATAGGTTCACAGCACTTTTCACAAACTACAAAGTGTGTTGAAAATAATTATATGTTAAACTTAGATTTTTAACTTGGTTATGCCCTTGCAATATCAGAATTTATAGATGACCTCAATAATTCAGTATATTTGCTAAAATCACGTGACTGCCACATCATGTGACAAATGTAAGTAAGAAATCTAATCGTCCTCAACATGTAGTTTTCAACCACATTGCATTTGTCCGATAAAAGTAAAGTCCTAAAAAGAAACACCCATCCTTGTAAAGAATGTATTTTCTATCTAAAAAATTCGCAGATATTTCCATTTGGCACCTTAACTGTACTGTACGGTGTTTGATGTATCCTGAGAATTTCATATTTCAGCTACATCCGCTGCTTCTACCTGGCTACAAAGACAGCCACTTCCATTGGGAACAACCCTCAGCCTACCAATGTCCTGGAGTATGTCTTCATGACAGTGTACTGGGTGTCGGGAGTGTTTGTGTTTGCTCTCCTGATTGGTCAGGTTTGTTAATATCAATTTTGTTGCGATGACATTTCTGACTGGGCAAATGTATGCTATACCTTTCATTGTGTCTGTGCATTTGTTTGGTCAATTTTTGCTAAAGCTAGTATTTAAAAAATGTAAGAGTTTTTTTTTTGAGTTGCAAAACACTTGAAAAAGCACATTAGCTTTCATTTATGTATTTATTTGCTTTAGATAAGGGACATTGTGGATGCTGCTGGAAGAGTTAAGGCCCTTTATAATAAGAGAATGGATGCTGCTATCTGGTATGTCAAGAACCTAAACCTGCCAAAAGAGACCCAGGAAAAAGTCAGGACTTGGTTCATCTATAACTGGCAGCAACAGAAAATACTGGGTTTGTTTATGTTCCATCATGGACTATGAATTATAATCAGAATTTTTTAAAAAATCTGTGAATCTTTGCAGCTTTTTTTATGCTTGATCTTTTGCAATGATTAATTCTGTGAATGAAATGCTTATTGTAGATTCCTTAATATACACAAAGAACTATATACGGTAAGGGCGTATTCCTGCCCCCATAATAGTCAAATTTTCAAAACCTCTTGAAATGAGAAAAAGTGCATATATTGTATAAAATAATCCAAATTAAGACAATATATTATGAAATTGGAAAAATTAGTTGGCTTTTCTTGTCTCTGTGATGTCACAAACTATTTGGATTTCCGTTATTTTTAAAATAGAGGCCAAAATGCACAGAGTTTGTTCAATTTTGGCTATAGTATTTATAGAGCGCAAGCTTGCTCAGGTACCATATTCACATATTTCATTGATATTATCAATCTACACATTATATCAAAAGATCTAGTCTGAGCAGACCTGCGCTCGATAATTTCCAATCAAAAAACCGACGTAAAATACGCTATTTTCTCTTAAAATCATTGCAATTTGGAATTTACGTCATTTTATTGACGTCATATCTAACTAATGATGTCATAGTTGATAAAAATATTTAATGCTTTGAAGTCTGCAAATATCCACCTGGTTTAGAGCATAATTAAAGATTTCTCCATCAAAGTTTTATTTTGGGGGCAGATACTGGCCACTACAGAATATAGTCCTTTATTGCATAATTTTGAAAGGAAACACCACTCACTGAAATAGACTTAACTTTTATTATTGATATTGCTGAATACATGGAAATACTTTTTGAATAGCAGTTTACCCACAAATTCATGTTTTCACCATTTGATTTCTACAACAACAAAAAAAAAGAATTTTGAGATATTACAAATATAAGTACTCGTATAAAATAGTAAATCTACAGTATTTAGAGATAATAATTTTTTTAGATGAGAAGGCTTTGATGGATACGCTGCCTAAGAACTTAAGGACTGATTTGGCTATCCATGTCCATTTTAACACACTGAGTAAAGTCAAGCTGTTCCAAGACTGTGACAAGACTTTGCTGTTCGATCTCGTGTTGAAACTAAAGCCAATACTCTACCTGCCAGGGGACTATGTTTGCAGAAAAGTAAAAAAAAAAATAATGCAATACAAATGAAATAACTGTTTATACTAGTAGTGGAATATATCCCTCCTAAAGATTATAATGTGCCATATTTAGAGTTATTGGCTATTGTTTTAATTAGCCCATTTTTTTTAATTTGCCATTTAATGATAACTGCACAAAGGACACAAGTAATGCTAAGATAAAATATACCCAGGATGTATTGCTCTTTTCATAGTATTTCATTGATATTTTCACTAAACATAGGGGGAAGTTGGCAAAGAGATGTATATTGTAAGTCAAGGTCAGGTAGATGTGGTGGGCGGACCTGACAACTCAATCGTCCTGGCAACACTAAAGGAGGGGAGTGTCTTTGGTGAAATCAGGTCAGATTTGGTTTTCATTTGTCAGGGAAGCAGTACAGTGCCAAGTTGTTAATTTTATGCAAATCACATACAGTCAAACCTTGTTATATTGAATTCAATGGGGCGAAGAAAAAAAATTCGAGATTTCAGAGGATTTGAGATATTGATGTTAATTTGAAAATACATAAAGAAAAAGTGTTTTTGTCTTCCAATCCACTTCTGAATCAAAGTATTCTGTTGAAGATGTTGATGTTTGAGATACCAATGTTTAATTGTAAATGAATGTAAAATAAAAAAAAAAAAAAACACTGATATTTAACAGGCTCTTAGAAAGGTATTCACTTTTGGTGATTGTAAAAGTTTTAAATTTCTTCTTTCTTAGCAGTCATTCACAAGAATCAGATTTTAATTAAATATTATTACTACTGTAGTTTGCTGGCTTTAAGTGGAGGGGAGGGAAATCGACGAACAGCTGACGTCATCTGTAAGGGCTTCACCAACCTCTTCATTCTCTCCAAAGGAGACTTTGAGGCAGCCATGGCTGAATATCCAGAGGCTCACAGACACATGAAAAAGAGAGCCAAGTAAGTCAAACTAGAAATATGTCCATAGGGCATGAATGCCACCCTCAAGGGTTAACTAGTATTACAACATGAAAATTTGTATTGGTTTATGAAGTTTGATGAAAATAACTTGAAAAGTTTCTTTGAAACTGAGATTTAAACACAATAAATAGTAAAGTCAAAGGTCATTGGGAAGTTCAAGGTAAAAACAATTTGGACAGTTGATTAATTCTCACCAAATTATGTATCAGTGCATAAGCTTACATAAAAGACATTGGAATAGTTTCTTAGAAACTAAGCTAAATGCTTATTTAAGAAAAGTGAGGTCAAGGTCAAAGGGAAGGTCAAGGTCAGAAAAGCTTGATGCAGGTCAGAAGCACTCACCAAAATTTATCAGCATATGAAGTTTGATAAAAATATCAATTTACTTCTTCAGAACTGAGCTACACAAAAAAGTGAGAAAAGTGAGGTCAAAGAAAAAGGTCAGAAATGTTGATGCAATTGAATACATGTATCTCTCATCAATATGTATAAACATATGAAGTTTGGTAAAAATATCTTGAATAGTTTCTTTGAAAATGAGCTTAACAATTTTTTTTTGAAAAGTGAGGTCAGGATCAAAGGAAAGGTCAAGGTCAAAAAATGTTGATGCAGTTGAAAAGCTCTTATCAATATGTATCAACATATAAGGTTTGATAAAAAAAAATCTTGAATAAAAGATGTATTAAAAAAAATGCTTTAGGGTCGAAATTCACCAAAAAAAAAAAAAAAAAAAACTACAAAAAATAAGGAAACCTGTTTTTGACAGCCTGGTTCACATTTATACCTGTCCAGCCATTTTCATAGCCAGAATAGCTCGATTGGTATAACAGCTGCATAATATCACCTCAGATACTTTTTTTAGAGTTGTAGTTTGAATCCACCTGGTGCCACACTTTTATAGTTTTTAAATTCTCACCTTTTCAAAGACTATTTTTATTTTTTTAAGGGCTATGTATAATCCTTCAACTATCTATCTTTTATGCATGTTCATTCTTCATATAAAAGACACTAAATAGAAAGCATATCGTAAATTCCATTGTATTTACTACAACACAGTCAAGCCAGACTATACCTCACCTGTACAGCAAACTTTCTTCGAGGACAAGAATTATTCACTGTATTACTTGATACAGGTATTCTCGCCTGCAGTGAGCTGCGATGGATTTCTATTGTATATATATGTATTACAAAGAATTTAATCAATTCAATTATACACTGCTTTTGTTCCATCTGTACTACTAATACTAGAAATCAACAAGCTTTTTATGCCCCCGGATCGAAAGATCCCGGGGGTATATTGTTTTTGTCCTGTCTGTCTGTCTGTTTATCTGTTTGTCTGTCTGTCTGTTGTCAACTTTAACCTTGCCCATAACTTTTGATTGGTTGGAACTATTACTTTCATATTTCACATGTGTATTCCTTGTGACAAGACCTTTCTTTGGGTACCATCATATTTGACCTTTTGACCTTGACCTTGGAGTTTGACCCACTTGTGCAAAATTTTATGAGACTTTAACCTTGGCCATAACTTCTGAACAGTTGGTGCTTGGGGTTTCTAACTTCACATGTGTATTCTTTGTGACAAGGCCTTCCTTTGGATACCAACAACTTTGACCTTGACCTTGGAGTTTGACCTACTTTTGAAAAACTTTAACCTTGGCCATAACTTTTGAACAGTTAATGCTTGGGGTTTGAAACTTCATATGTGTATTCCTTGTGACAAGACCTTCCTCTGGATATCAATCTCTTTGACCCTTTGACCTTGACCTAGGAGTTTGACATACTTTTGAAAAACTTTAACCTTGGCCATAACTTTTGAACGGTTGGAGCTAGGGCTTTCATACTTCACATATGTAATCCTTGTGACAAGTCCTTCCTTTGGATACCAACCACTTTGACCTTTTGACCTTGACCTAGGAGTTTGACCTACTTTTGAAAAATTTTAACCTTGGTCATAACTTTTGAATGGTTGATGCTAGGACTTTCATACTTCACATATGTAATCCTTGTGACATCACCTTCCTTTGGATACCAACCACTTTGACCCTTTGACCTTGACATAGGAGTTTGACCTACTTTTGAAAAACTTTAACCTAGGCCATAATTTTTGAATGGTTGATGCTATTGCTTTCATACTTCACATATGTAATCCTTGTGACATCACCTTCCTTTGGATACCAACCACTTTGACCTTGACATAGGAGTTTGACCTACTTTTGAAAAACTTTAACCTTGGCCATAATTTTTGAATGGTTGATGCTAGGGCTTTCATACTTCACATATGTTATCCTTGTAACATCACCTTCCTTTGGATACCAATCACTTTGACCCTTTGACCTTGACATAGGAGTTTGACCTACTTTCGAAAAACTTTAACCTTGGCCATAACTTCTGAATGGTTGGTGCTAGGGCTTTCATACTTTACATATGTAATCCTTGTGACAAGGCCTTCCTTTGGATACCAACAACTTTGACCTTGACCTTGATGATTTACTTACTTTTAAAAAACTTTAACCTTCGCCATAACTTTTGAACAGTTGCAGCTAGGACTCTCAAATTTAATATTTTTTATCTTTTGGCCTGGATTTTGATTTGCATTTGAGAAACTTTAACCTTCGCCATAAGCTGCCATACGGGGGCATCAGTGTTTAACAAACACATGTTGTTGTAAATTCTAAAACCAACCCAGGTCATATAGGTCAAGGAGCTATTTATAACTAAATGGTCCATTTTGAAAAGTGAGGTCAGGGTCAAAGGAAAGGTCAAGGTCAAAAAATGTTGATGAAGTTGAATAGCTCTCATCAATATATATCAGTATATGAATTTTGATGAAAAAAAATCTTGATTAGTTTCTTTGAAACTGAGCTATATTCATGGTGGGGCATTAAAATATACCTGGGCTTAATAAGTTCTCTCTAAGACCCCCTCTCTCTCTCTCTCTCTCTCTGCAGTCAATTTCACAGAAACTTTACAAGAATTCTAGTATTATTTTAGTATTGTGATTAATTATAAGCTGTAATTTTAATATTTTCGTTTTGTTGATTTGTTGTCTGGACTGTTGTTTTTCACTCTATGTCAGTTCAATTTTTTTTAAACTAAGTGCATCAAATTTAAGAGCAAATAATTCCATTAATTCCCATGCAGGTTTAGTATATTTGACTGTAATGATATAAGGAAAAGTTAATTTCTTGTTAACGTTTACTTTTTTGCATTATTGTATTGTACAAATATATGTTTGAAGGGAGGACTTGTATATTCTTTTTTTTTTTAAATTAACATAATTTTTTAACCATTTCTTTAAGCTGCAAGATCAGTTGACAAATGAGTAATATTTCTGTTAATTTTTTCTTGTTCCTTTATAGAATGTAAGTACAGGAAAATCACATTTTACCCAAAACAGCACACTCCATAACTTACATGTAGAAACATCTAGCAAGATAATCCATGATATGTATATTAAAACTCTGCACTGAATTTGCATGATATTCACATCCCCTGTTAAAGCCAATTTAGCTCTCTAGATCCAGAGACTTGATTGTCAGATACTTAAATAATTGTCAGATAATTCAGTCATCTAGTCAGATAATTCAGTTAACCCTTCAGATAGTTACATTTCTTCAGATGATTTTATCTATTGATTTATAATGTTGACTATGTGTAATTGTCTAATTAATTTGTAAACATATCAAGGGAGGAAAAAAATCTATAATCATATATTATTCCAAATAAGAATTGTAAAGGCTATTAATATGTGAATAAAGTATCTGACATGCTAACTCAATTATTTGACGGAACACAGATTACTCAACCTTAGACTACAGGTAAATCCCATCATATGAATGAAAATTCCTGCAAGTTATGCATGGAGTTAACTCCCCTTTGATTAACTGAACCAGTCAGTTATAAATCCAAACCAAAATAACTAAAAGCATGAATTTGCATGATGTGCATCCTTTAAGAAAACATTTTATATTCCTAAAGTTAAAATTTCTAAGATCAGCAATTGTAATTTTAGTGAAGGTAAAATTTAAATTAGATACATTGAGTTTGCATGCATCAATAACTGATGTGTTTTCCCTATTAACATGTGTATTGAAAGTACCATACATACTAAACAGGAAACATTGAGATTTGAAAGAATATGATAATATTATGCTACTGCATGACATTTACATATTTATATTTAACCTCCTGCAATTGCAATAATCTTAAATACACAATAATCCAACCCTTGCAGGTAAAAATGTATGCAGGTTCTTTTTTTTCAGCCTTAATCTTACACCTGACTATATGGTTAAATAAAACCTTTCCTAAATTTCTTACCTTTTAAAATCATTGACCATGGCTTTGAAAATGCACATGCATTCAATTTGCATTTGTTAATCCCTCTATGAAATTGCTAAATCCAAGATTTATTGAAAAAAATAAAGGTAAAAAATAAAGAAAACAGAATTAAAATTTACCCACACTTTTTCTTATGCAAAAGCAAAATTCTTTAAAGCTGTAAAATCATTGGTGTTAATTAAGCTTGCTCTATATATAATTTTTCTTTTGGAATTTTTTTGATTTTTTCTTATAATGTTGTAGAAAGTTACTGAGACAAAATGCTAAATTAGCCAAGGAGAGTGCCGAATCATTAGGGAGTTCTTGTATGGATGAAATCATCAAGTCTTCTTCAGCTATTAGTCGAACTCCAAAAATGGTGACAACTGTTATGCAGGTAACATAAAACTGTATACAGGGTTGTTTTTGCCCCACATTATTTTTTGCCTTTTCACATTGCAAACTTTTTCTCCTCATTAGATTCATCCAAACACAGTTGTGTTAAAAAGAGAGATAAATTTCGTCCTGTATAATTTGAATTTACCAACTAATTAAGAGCCAGGATGAAAAGGGCAAAAATAAAATGGGCCTATATTCCTTGTTTACGGTACCTGGTAGTACATCTGTGATTGTGAATTTTACTAAGATTATAACCAATATTAATGAGCTGCTGACAGTTTCAACCCTTTATAACTTTTTAACTAATAATGTAGTCATCTTGTTTGAATTTTTGATTGATTTACAATGGAATATTAATTATATTTGTTCAAGTTAGTTGTGAATGTAGAAATGATAAGTATTGTTTTGCGAGTAAATAATAGTTGATTTACTGAAATATTGATGCCAGAATTTATGTGTCACTTTTCTTCCTTTTTTTTTTTTTTGTAAATTTTAAATTTTTTTTCTTATAGGTGATGGATCCTGGTTCTCAAGTGATGAAAAAACTCAACAAGTCACATGACACACAGGAAGTGGATGAAATGTTAAAAGAGCAGGAGGTTTCCCTTCTTATTTAACTTTTTTTGGATGTACATGTACCTCTAAATAATGCTTTATAGAATATACACATATTGCTCTATAGAATGTACAGGCACATATTCAAACTTTTATCTCTAATGTTGAGATATATTAAATGCATGTTGACTCTAGGACAACTTTCTGTTTTAATAATGAACTTGTGATTACAGAACATAGGGAGAGGACTGCCTACAGACCAAGAAGTAGAGGACTTCTTCAATGAGATGCTGACTGTGGAAATACCTGTCCCCACTCCACAAAGCCAAGAGGACTCTCTGAAAAGGGGGAGCAGTAAACTCAAGAAAGAGGACACCATTACCACAGAACACAGTGAGGAATCAACTGACTCAGGTACAGGGGGTTTACCTTACAAAGAAAAGTTAACTCTGTACAAATACCAGAAAGAGAATCAACTGACTCAGGTACAGGGGGTTTACCTTACAAAGAAAAGTTAACTCTGTACAAATACCAGAAAGAGAGATTAATAGATAGTACATGTAGTTCTCTGTTTTAGGTGTACCGTGCATATTGATTTTACAGTGAAACGTGATGGGGATTTTTTTTCTTCAGTTTTAGAACATTTTCAAAAATGCACAGCATGTTTGTACATAATTAAGTTAAAACTGTATAGAGGGAATGAGATAAATGACATTTCATAGTTTTTGCAGGGGTACAGCTAATAAAAGCTAGCAGTCCTATAGACAGCACAACTAAAACCATGAGCAACAAGGAAAGTAAAGAGTCTATGATCACTCCGGAAATAACCACAGATTTAGCAGACATATTGGAGGAAACGAGAAGCTGGGTGGAGCAGCAGACCCTTCACACTCAGATGATCAGTGATGGAGGATTTCTGGCCGAATTCTTTGAGGACAACCTCACAAACAATCCAGAGGAGGAGACCACAAACCATGAGGAGGAGCACATAGGAGAAAATTCTGAGGATCAGGTGACAATGGAGATGGAGGGTCAAGGTTGTCTTCAGAATGTTGAACTTCACGGAGAGCTCAGGGTTGAGAGCGAGGATATGAACGTGGACAGTATTGATAACTTGTTGAGTAAAATAGAGGAAGAACATGCCAGCAGTGTAGCGGAAAACAGTGAAAACAATGCAGCTGAAAATGTTTCAGTTGATATGGGAGATGGTATTACAAGTGTAAGGGTAGAAAATGAACTAGAGGGGATTGATGATGAAGAGTTGAAGACAGAGTTGAACAAAGAGGATTTGAAAGATGAGAAAGTTGAAAAAAATGTTGAACAAGCTGAAAAAGTAGTTGAAATGAAGGCAGTTCACAATGAACTGAATTCACTGGAGAATAAGACAGTATCTGAACCAAAACAGCTCATGAGCATAGAGCCCAAAAGCAGGTCCCTCTCCATCCACAGTGCTGGATCGTTGACTGAGAGTGACATCACAGATAGGGAACCCAAGAAAAATCCCATACAGGAGTCCAAACGAGTCATGTCTGAACCTGCTAACCTCTGTATAAACAGAATTCCCTCCAAGAACAGAATTACCTGTGCAGTGGAGGTTCACCGTGAAAAAAGCATCACCCCCACATCTGTGGTAGAATGGCAAGACAATGGAGCAATGGAGTTACAAAAGCAAGGCAGTGCTGCGTCTTCTCCACGGGAATTGCAGTATTTTGAGTCCAGTGTTTAATAGTTCTTAGTGTGTGCCACTGCACTGTCAAGTGTTACCTTGTGTGTTACTATCTGATCAAAGGTCACAGGTCACCTGTGCTAATAGACAGAATTGATTTTAAAAATAAGATCAGTAAAGTTTTATTTGTTGTACATGTATTTTTAAATTATAACCTTATTGACCATCATCAAAACCAACTATTATGTGTATTTGAAATCTTGCCTGGTAAGCAATTTGTAATACACATGTATGTGAGTTAGAGTGCTTGTGTGAAATGTTTTTGTGAATGTGGTACCTTTGATTGTCTTTTAACCCTGTCCATGTTATTTATCATTTATTTGAAACCATATTTTATTTTTTTTTTAAAATAATAATAATCCTTTTCAATTTAATTCTAAGCTGGCTTAGATATCATGTTTATTATTCATTATGAGGTTTTCTAATAATTTTTGAAATGTACTCTATTATTTATTGTTTTATTACTTATTCTTTATCAATACCAATGCCATTAAAAGGTCATGAAAAACCATCCAAGACTTTGTATGTCATTTTTATCAACTAAAGAAAATGAAATCTGTGATTTGGTCAGTTGTAGCTGCAGATCTGTAGCTCGCTGGTCAGAAAAAATTGGGAAGGAAGACCTGAAAGCTACAGTGCCACCCATTGAAAAAAAACATATATTATTGCACGCAAAAAAGTGTGCTGTTTCTTGATTTATTTCTCAGTTTATTTATGCTGCCATCTTAAATTTTTACTTACCCTGTGTTCCTAGTATATTTTTTTATTACTTCGATCCACAACAAAACATTTCCCCAAACCGTTGTTTATAGCCCCCCTGGGCCTGAAATTGAGACCTTTGAAAAGACAATTCAGTCCAAAGCGCTTGGTGCATGACTTGTACATGCAGCTTTGTTTTGAAAGTAGTAATAGAATGTGTTAGGAACACACGGTTAGTAATATTTTGAAATATACTGTGAAATAAATCCAAAAAAATGGTGCTCTTTTTTGTGCACAATTATAATATGCAAGTTTTTCAATAGGTGGCTCTGTAGCTCTCTGGTCCTCCATCCCAATTTTTTTTAGACCAGCGACCTACAGATCTGCAGCTAGGTCAGTTGATGCATCTTGGGTAGAAGATGTGTCGCATCCTTCTTAAAGATCACTGTGACCTTTAATTAAGGTGAAAGTTATGCTTTTAAGTTACACAATCCCAGTAGATGCAAGAGTATTGCAGTAACCTTTTTAAAAAATGATAAATCAAGAAAATACACATTTTTTTCAAGATGTACTTTACAGCAATCTATAACAAATATATTTCTTTTGTGTCAATAATAAGAGAAATTCCTCTTCTTCTGTGGGTGTAATAATTATCAAGCAATGCTCTTGTTTCAAGGAGAATTTTGATAACAAATTGCATGTCAAATTAGAGGTTATTTATTGAGTTTTGTGTAAGGAGATTTCTGGTAGAGCATCTCTGATCAAACAGGTGTTATTTATATCTCTAGGGAATTGGTCAGAAGAATTTGGGCTCTTAATTGCAATTTATATCATTCATAAAAAATACAATGAACAATCTGAGTGAGACATGACAATCTGCAATTTGTTGTAGAGATATCAAAGTTAAAATACGTAATGGATTTTAGAACGACAATGAAACATCGCATTTACACACTGGGATTTTTTGGGGAAAAGTTCACTTTTTTATGGGCTCCGGTCTTCTCTCTCTCTTTTTTTTTTTTTTTTTTTTTACAAATGTTTGCTTTTTTTAAAATTAATATGCACACGTCAAATAATGTTTCGAAATCATGGAAAGATGACCAAGAGAAAGCAAATTTTTAGAAAAATGTGTTTAAAAATGTAACATTTTGTTTGTTATACCAAATGACTCATCTAGCCAATTTTCAAGTTATTTTTTAGCAAATCAAAACACTATATTGGGAAATATTTCACTTTCCTATTTCTCAGAAACCCTATATATCAAAAGAATGCTAATTAAAATTTCATGTGACAGATCAATGAAATTTTCACTTTAAGTGATCCCAGATTCCTGCCGAATGGCAATCAAATGCGCCATTGTTCTTTCTCTGAAATTCTTTCAAAACGCTACACCTGTAGATTTGGTCTAATTTCAGTACGACTTGGTATATTACTGTAGCTCTACTGTTTGTACTTGTAACAAAGAAAGAGAAAAGCAGCACTTGGACTTGAAAATGCAACGCACAGCATAAATAGAATAATGATCTTTGGTTTAGTCCCTTTTTTGAGGCAAGTTTTATTGCAATCAAACTAAAACTGTAGGAGAAGTAACCTTTTGAAAGAATTTAACAGAAAATTCTAGTTTTAGTAACCATGGTAACATTGTTCATCAAAATCAAAAAAATGATAAAGAAAATTATATATCCTGATTCACAGAATTATGACTGTATCTTAATGTGGTCTACTTGTGTGCCAAGTTGTATTGAAATCAGACTTTTACCTGTAGGAGGAGTAGCATTTTGAAAATATTTCACAGAAATTTCTATTTTCTATTTTTAGTAACCATGGCAACATCGATCATTGAAATCAAAAACAGATAAAAACAATTATGTATCTTAGTGTAGTCTACTTTTGTGCCCAGTTTTTCTTTTACTGAAATCAGACCAAAACTGTAGGAGGAGCAGCATTTTGAAAAATTGTTTACAGATGGATGGATGTACGACAGACACCATTGCATAGGCTCTTCCGGTCTTTAACCTGTAGAGCTAAAAACTCTATTAAATGAGGTATTTACTTATTTATTAAGCTGGAAGTTGGACTTCTTATTGTTTTCAGTTTGAAAATAAATGGTGCTGCTTACAAGGACAGGGATATTAATTAAAAATTAATATTTTGAAATTAAATTTTCTATTGAAAAAGTTGAAAGCATCAAGTCTCTAGAGTTTTCTAAACATCATCTGCAGAAATTTACATTTTTATTTCATAAATATGTATACAAGAACAATATTACATTGCATTTTACAACTTCAAATTCACAAGTATGCATTGCACATGGTAAAAGATGTAATTTGTTACATGATTACAAACAACAGTTCCTGGAAAAAAACACTTCCTATTACTAATTTACATTATTACAGGCTGTTTGCACTTTTATAAAACTTATTAGAATTAAGAAATAAAAGGTCCACATCAGTGTAGTATATTAGGAGTAAATTACTTATATACCTAATTGTATACATACATTCATTGTTCTCTGGGGGGGGGGGGGGGGGGTTATGTTGGATTGTATCACTTGACCCATATGGGTGTATTATGCAATAAAGAAATTAAAATTAAGTATTGTAGTAGGGAATTTGCACATACTGTTACAATATCTTATGAAAATCTTGATTATAAAATAAAAATTAAATCTCTTTAAGTGGTATTTGAGATAAACGTAAATATACTTGCCATATTTTGAGGCGGAATAAAAAATATTTCGAGCATAAAAAAAACAAATATTTATACACAGATGCATGCACACTGAATTTTGTAAAACAGTATCTCTTGAAGTTTGCATTTTTACAAGAAGAATGATATGGACAGTGTCTCACAGATAAAATACATCATGATTTTTACATTAAAATTTTTTCTTATTAACTTATCAGTTTGATTATGAATTATCAATTTCTAACTCCCTCATCACCCGCTGTTTGTAATGCCCATACCCTGTTGGATTTTCATCATCTGTATCATCATTTGATGATTCATCACTTTCATCTTCTGAAAAAGCATTTGAACATCAAAATAAAATCAGGCAACTATGAATCATTAAATATTAATTCATTAATATTTTTATCTCAAAGTATAACTTCCAAACTTCCAAGCATATGAAAGATATCTTTTTGGTGGTGGTGATGGGGGGGGGGGGGGGGGGGGGGGGGGGCGTGATAACAATCCATCTTTCATATTAGTAGTAACACAAAAGCTATATTCAACATTATCAATGAGAAACAGTTGCAGTCTTAATCACAAGTATATCATACACCCATTTCAAATATACAAAATCTTCAGAACTTCCAAAGATTGTTGTTTTTTCATAGATATCTTGCTCCTCACCAAATCAAATTGTTTACTTTTAAAATTGAAGAAATTAACACATATCGACTTGATTTAAAAAGGTGCTTGCATATTTATCTTGCTTACCTATATTGCACCTAGATGACATCCACTCAACAAGGCCTCTGTCTTCATAACCAAATGCCTGGTAATCATCAACACCTATGGAAGATAAAAGCTTATAAATACTACATAATGGGTTTCTCTATTGCACAACAAACTACAACAGTAGTTCTATAACTATATTGTTTATCCATCGGAATAATACAGTAATCTGATTGGTCGAGAGCATGTAGTGTGCAGGGAGACAATTCATGATGACAATTTGTAACATCTGTGTTGTCTCCCTTCAGATGACAATGGCCCAAGCCATCATACAGGGTGACTACTGTATTGTCTCCCTTTTGATGAAACTAAATTGTCGAACTGATTTAACTCTGATATATAAAATACAGTCAAACCTTATCTTGAACTCCATGGGACCGAGAAAAAACTTTGAGATATCTGAGGATTCAAGATATCAAGGGTGAAATACTTGAGGAATAAGGGGTTGGGACTTCAAAATCACTTTGGCATATCCATGGTATTCAAGATATCCATGTTCAAGATACCGAAGTTCAACTGTACATTAATTAGTGTATTAATATGCAGGTTTGATAGAGAGTTAGATAGTTAGAGAGACATTAATATCCCCATCTAATTGAGCTATAATTTTATCAAAAGCTTACCATTTCCATACACAAAATCTACGTCCTCCTCTTCTTCTATGAACCTTGGATCCTCATCAGGGTAATCATTCCTCCAGTTACTTTCCTCATTTTCATCATCCTCATCCTCATATATTTCATGGTCCTCCTCACCATTATATCCATACTCAAGATTGTCTGCATATAAGGAGTGAATTGACAGGGAGCTCTCGAATAATTGGAGATTGAAATCTCTGCTGTTCGTGTAGTAAAGATCATAAACATAGTCCTCTTCCTTTTCTTGTGGTACTTGTTCATGTACCATTTGTTCGGAATTACACGTAACAAGACTAGCATTTTGAGCTTCCTGTAAAAAATTTAAAAAAAAAAAATGTTTAGCCTTCATGTATAATGGTTTTAGAATAAATGATACCAATTTCATAACTTTCCATTCTGGCAATGACATATATTCACATGATACATACATGTATAGTAGTAACGTTAGTACATATATATAGGTCCCTGATATTCCTGTGAGTCCTAAATCTAAACAGCTGTCCTTAAACCTAAAATTAATATGGTCATTATAAAAATATAAATAATTCATATGTTTTAGGGCATTTTCCCAGTGAAAAATTTTACCTGAATTAAGGACTCAAAAGTTGGTAGATTTGACTGATTGACTTCTACATCATACAGGTGATAAACTTTTTCAGCTGACTGTGCACCATTGGCTACTGAACTTGCTTCATGTAAATTTCTCTGTTCTTTTTCAACCCCTTCTGCAGAATTTACAGTGACATTTTTTCTACAGTTACACAAATCTAGTTCTTTTTCACAATTTTCTGAAGCATTTATGCTTGTTTTGCTCTCTGAATGTTTTGCACTTTCTTTTTTACAAATGTCACATACATCAGTGGACTTCAGTGGGGATATTTTCTTTTCTACACAATCATCACATTCCTTATCAAGGGCTGCAAGGTCTAAAGCTCGGAAAGATGACGTTATCTTAAATCTGTTGGCTTTTGAGGACTCCTTTTTATGCCGTCTACTTCTGGGTAGAGCACCTGGTTGATGACTTTTGTATTCTCTTTGTAGTTTTTCTTTTCTTATTGCATCTTTGATGTGCTTTGAAATAACTTCATCCTACAAAGAAATGACTGAATTTTCAATTCACACATAAATACTAATTATAACAGGAAAGGAGGAAAATTGTGATGGACCAGACCAGGATTCAAAACCAGGCCCCCTGAATCTCGATCTATTCAGGTATTCTAAACAACAAAGCTATCTGGCCATCAAACCCGTCTGACCGCCACCAAGAACCTACATACAGTATATAGGTCCCTGCCGCCACATATAGTTTAAAAAGAATCTTTGTTAAACAAAGTTTTCATAAATATGGTATTCAGAAATTTTCGTGTTAGATCTAAATAACATGAACATTATCTCCAATATATAAATTATATATGGAAATGTAACACAGAGAAAATGTAATGGACAGTATTATATATATATGCAGTTTCAACATATTCATTATTAACAGGTTCGGCACAATCTCTTGATTAAGCTATATAGCTTGAAATAGCTATATAGCTTTATTAAGCTATTCAAATTAGCTCGATAAAGCTATTTATATGCAGTTTTTAACAAAAATGTTATTTGTGCAAAATAGACAAAAAGTCGCAAGTAATTGACTATTCATATATGTACTATGGGCTATCAAAACAACAACCAAAATCAAAGATAGTTCCAACATTGCAGCATTTGAATACTTTTAAGCAAAAGATGAATTTCCATTGTTTGGGTAACTGTACACTACCTTGTGTGAGTTGAGGCATGGATAAGTATGATTGCTTCTCATTGTACTGAATTATTACCAATCAATTATCTTGTTGACCATAATTGACCTCCTTTATAATTTCATTCGAGATCTAATTGTATCAATTGCTTTATATAGCCCCAAAACTTTAAGAACTTTGAGTACAAAGTCTCTTAAGGAGACACAATTTGATGAGTGATTTGCTGAGAAAATAATACATTTGAGAAAAAAGTGTGATTAAATAGCTAAATCAAGCTATTCTGAATAGCTTAATAAAGCTATATAGCTAAATCAAGCTATATAGCTAAATCAAGAGATTGTGCCTGACCTGATTAAGTTTACATACCATCTGTGTATAACCCCCAACCCTGAAATTTTGTAGATCACACCCTGTTCTGAAATGTAATTTCTTTCAAAGACCATTCACTACAATTTAATTATTTATTATGTTTGATCTGAGTTAATATGAAATTCATTCTTCACCTATAGATTTTGAACCAATTGATGGTCTGAATTTTACTCTACCTTCGATATGACAGTCCCAGCAAACTTCAGATAACTCTCACAACCATCTGTCTCATGTTTACTAGTATCAGCTATGTCTGATTTGAGTTTTTTACACGAAAGAACAATATTTTCGGCAGGATCTTCGTACCTTCTCCGTTTCACCCTCACTATGGTCGCCATCTTGAATATCGGATTCTGCTTCACCTTTTCTCGTCTTGAAAGGAGACAACTCAAGAGGGATTCCGAATGATCAACATGTGGGATCTGACATGAATGTCTTTTTATGTAAAGTTAAACATTTCATTTACCAAAATGGCTACAAGTCGATATTTCAATAGTATAATTAAATGTAGTAAGCAGGGTAATATTTTAATCGCAAGAGTGACTGACACAAATGTAAGTATGATGAAAAGTGGTCAATGGGGAAGAAAAACATGAATCCGAATTTTCTCCGAGATTTGAAAAGGAGTTGCATTTAACGAAACCTTTATTTTGTTTAATTTCATTAACCTTACTTCCTTTTGTTTTTAGGTTACACTAAAAAGATTTTATAATGTCCAGAAATGCACAGCCAAAACAGGGTTAGTCAGCTTGTTGAAGAAACACAGAATTGTAGTAAATTCAGCTCTCATTACAAGGGCAAAAAGCACATCGGTAAGTAATAAAGGTAATTTTCAACTTTTGCTTACTGTATATAAGAAACATGTATATGTCCAGCCTCTATGTATTTAATTTATGCATTCTGTCAAAAGTCATGCTAAAAAAGTACTATGAGTACCAGTAGTAAACAAAATAAAATAATCTTATTGTTGAGACAAACCTAAATCAGGAAACATGTGGCAAGCTATAAAGAAATTGACAAGAGGTACCTTCAAAACTAATATTTCAAATACCGAGTGGATAGATTATTTTAAAACCCTACTAGAGTCTGCTAAGTTTGACATAGATTGTGTCTTTGAATCAGAGGCCAACAGTTTTCTAACAGAACTTGAAGAAGGTAAAGTAAAAAATGAAGTAATTGAATTGGATAAACCTATTGAACTGTGGGAAGCAAATGATGCACTTAGTAAAATGAAGAATAATAAAGCTCCAGGAATCGATGGTTTAGTGACAGAAATTTATAAAAATTCTTTCAATCAATTATCAGAATACCTTGTAAAATTATTTAACATTATATTAGAGACAGGTGTTTTTCCAAGCGAATGGGGTAAGGCTATCATATGCCCTATGTATAAGAGTGGAGATAAGAATATTACAGAAAATTATAGGGGAATATCATTACTGAATGTTATTAGTAAAATTTTTACCAAAATTTTGAATAATAGATTGACATGTTGGGCAGAATATGGAGAAGTGTTGTCTGAACAACAATCTGGTTTTAGACAGACTCGGTCTACTATTGATAATTGCTTTGCTCTTCAAGCAAGTATATATAAATATATTAGTAAGAGCAAAGGTAGAATGTATTGCCTTTTCATAGATTTCTCAAAAGCTTTTGACTGTGTACAACATAATATATTATTGTATACACTATTCAGGAAAGGAGTCAGTACAAAAATTTTATTGATTTTAAAGTCAATGTATTCCCAATTAACATCATGTATTAGAAATCAAAATCATATTTCAGACTTTTTCCAGTGTAATATAGGCACTAGACAGGGTTGCATGTTAAGTCCTCTCTTATTTTATGTTTATTGGTGAACTTACAGAATTATTAGATTCAATGGAATGTAAAGGTATATACATTGATGAGTCATTTCCTAACATTATGCAGTTACTTTTTGCCGATGATGTAGTAAATTTTGCAGGTACAGTTATTAATTTACAAAATCAAATTAAAGTATTAGAAAAGTTTTGCTATAAATATGGCATGAAAATTAATTTACAGAAGTCAAAGCTCATGGTGTTTAGAAGTGGAGGTATAACAAAAAGTACAGAGAAATGGTTTTTTGATGGAAAAGAAATTGAAATTGTACCATTTTACAAATATTTAGGGTTATATTTCACAAGTACAATGACATGGGAATTGACAATGAAGTCTCTGTGTGTGTCAGCGGAAAAAGCATTGTTTACTGTATATAAATTTATGAAGATGTACAATGCATCATATAAACAAATCTTTTGCATCTTTGATAGAATGATTGTACCTATTTTGACTTATGGTGCTGAAATATGGGGGTTTGAGTTACATGTATCTAAATGTATTGAATCTATACATACCAAGTTTTGTAGAAGAGTATTAAGACTCAAGAACAATACACCTGAAATAGTTGTCTTAGGAGAACTTGGGCGATATCCCCTTATGGTACACTATTTTAAGAAATTTATTGCATATTGGTTAAAGATACTTTGTATGGAAGATAATAGATACCCAAAAAGATGTTACTTATTTTTACTTCAGTTAAACAATGTTGGTAGAATTAGAGGTAACTGGGCATCAGAAGTGAAGTCAATGTTATTTAGATATGGTTTCCATTATGTATGGCTTTATCAAGGTGTAGGTGATAATGTATTATTTTTAAAAGAGTTTGTACAAAGAGAACAGGATAACTATATGCAGGAATGGCACTCATCATTGAGCTCCTATAGTAAATTAGATTTTTATTGTAAATTCAAAATTCTTTTTGAACCAGAAAGGTACATAGATGTTATAAACAATACGTTTTTTAGAGAATCACTTTGTAAATTAAGAACTTCTAGTCACTGTTTGGAAATAGAACACGGTCGATTTAAGGGTATTCCTAGAGAAAACAGGTACTGTCTCTTTTGTCAAATAGCAAATAAAACATGTATTGAGGATGAAGAGCACTTTGTAGAAAATTGTGAATTATATATGGATATTAGAGTAAAATGTAATATGTAATATTTTGAAACACTTGAGATTTTATAAAAAACACTGTGAATATGTTTATATATGGAAATGATGTAGTTTTAAATGATATTGCAAAATTTTCTTTTTTAGCTTTCAAAGAGAGAGAAAAGTTCATTGAAAATTTAATATGTGACAAATGAAAAGCATAAATTCATATGTTCCCACATTATATATATGTTTAAATATGTGAGTCTGATCTGAAATTGTAAATCTATCATTTTAATATATGATTGTACTTTGGGCCGGTGGCCTGTAATACTCAATAAATATCCTGAATTGAATTGAATTGAAACCTAAATCAGGCTCACAGAATACTGTCATTTTGATGATAGAAAATTCTGTGTATAAATGTGCAGATGAGCCTTGTTAAGGTCAAGATCTAGTAAATGACTTTAGAATGTCTTTTTGGTGCTAGATCAATTATGACGTCATAATCAATTCCAACTTTCTTTTTCCCATACTTTGCGACTCTAATAGACTTATGTAGAAGATAAAGTATTTTCATGGTGTTCAATTTGAAATCGTATAAAAAGTAATCCCGGTTCCTATATTCAATTTTACATTATTTCAAAGAAGAGGCTAAGAACATACAAATTACTGTTTTCTGAGAGACTGTAGGCAATCTGGATACATTTCATTTGTCTGATATGACAAAAATTCCCATATTCATGACTGACTTTCTTAATTTTTCATTGAAAATGACAGTTTAAAATATGAGTTTTCGTCTTGTTTACCTACAAATTATACCCCGATACACCTTATTTGACCAAGCTATACTTATAAAGCATCATAAAAGGAATTCAGTTCTCAAATTTGAAAAATCTGTAGGCTCCTTTCATTTACTAGATCTTGACCTTAATCCGGATACCTGTTTTCCCAAGCAAATCGTCTCAATAATAAGCATTTGAGTTACTGAAACAGATCTTTTACATCTGATAGATATACATGTACATTCCGTTCCTAACAAATTATATCCAAACGGTGATGGGTCTTGATTATTTGCATCCATATTAATTAACAAGGCTCCACTGTATTCAACTAATTCCAAAGCTTATTTTCCTTATATATGCCTATTCTACAATGTCTGTTTTCCCTTTTTTTCCCATTAATTATTGTGCAGACTGGAGTCGATGAAATCCTAAGCAAAGCTGCATCTGAAATCTCCAAAGATGATAAGTTAACTAAAGTTGTTTCTGAAGTGTCAAGTAACACTGGAATAGTAAAACCAGAACTGACAGATGTCACCTCTAGTTTAAATGCCCTGGGGGAAGAGTCTCTGAAAAGTCTGGGACTTGGAAAGTTTACTCCACCTGGACTAATGCAACAGTTTTTGGAGTTGGTTCATGTAAATTTGGATGTACCGTGGTGGACCTCCATTGTGATAGGTAAGTTACATGGAAATTGATTTTTTTTCAAACCATAATGACATATAACTTTGAACCACAACAATCTGGAATTTATCAACATTTTCTTCCCAGCATTGTAATTATGAAAGTACATGTAGTAGATTTCTATTTTTTTAAAAATCTTGTGTGATAGAGAACTTTGAGAAAAATTCATACAGAAAATATTGAATTTCAACTTGCTTTCTCACTCCTTTTATTGATTTTTTCAGCATTTTAGTGTACCTTTCAATATGAATTTTTTTCATGATTGAAAGACATGATTTGTCATTCAGAATGTAGAGACATAATATTTTGCATGACAACTTTCAAGCAGAAAAAGAAATTGCAACAAGATTTAACACTTGAATTTTTCAGTAACTGTTATAATAAGAGGTGCATTATTCCCTGTATATCTGAAGGGGAGACAAAGGACCATTAACTCTATGAACCATGCACCTACAACCCAAGTTCTGCAAGAGAAAATAACAAGGGCAAGGATGAGAAGGGATGCATTAGCAAGTAAGGCCGTTAATTTTCATTCAGTGGTCATTATTCTCTTATCAGAAGGTCAGTGAACCTTGAAGAGACATGTGCAAATTACATTCAAACCTCGTTAGGCCAAATAAAAAAATATGTGTGGTTCCGGTTACACCTCCAAACAAATTAGGGTAGGTAGGTAGGTTTTTTTTTGGTTTTGTTTTTTTTTTAATATAATAAACGTCAAAAATATCATTGAATGTTCTTGAATTAACTATCGGTGATATTGGTGAGGTAATACTATTGCTTTCTTTCAAGTGGTGATATTTGTAACTGACAAAACACTTGTACCGCGTGTTGAAACGATGTTGTCAAAGAAGGCCACCATTGCTGAAACTAAAACTAATACTGGAGCCAATGAGGGAAATCGGGGAAAATTCCGGAAATTTGAAAATTGTCAAAAAAAAGTTTAGGGTCGGGGGTATAAAATAAGGACGGTCGGGTAACCAGAACCACACATATTTTTTTATTTGGCCTTATCTCAAACTCAGTGGGACTGAGAAAAAGAACTTTGAGATATCTGAGTGTTTGAGATATCCAAAGTTCAGCTTTAATGATCAATTTTTTTGGAAGAGTCGTCACTTATTTCAGGCAGAATTAGACTTTTATATATAGTATCTTGTCACAAAAGTTTGCCATAAGGTCTATGAGATCGCTTGTACAGCCAAAGTAGGATGATGCATACACTTTATAAATGGAAAACTGGAAATGATACCTTCATTAAAGACAATTAAATGCCGGAATTAATTTAAAAAAAAAAATTAATGTATATTAGCTGAATGTCTTGAGAATTGCTTGACAGAATATCAAATATGGTACACTGGTTTCCCTTTGAGTTCACATGGTCATAGGTCAAGGGTCAAACTGTACATAAGATGATATTGATTGCTTAATGTCTTGAGAATGTTTTGCTTGTCAGACATCTAACATGGTTCCCAGTAAGAAGTAGATGACCCCTACTGATTTTAAGGTCACAAGATTAAAATGTCAAACTGGACATAGGTAGATACTGACTGCTCAGTATCTTGAGAACCGTTTGCTTCACAGACATCAAACTTGGTACACTGGTACCCACTAGATGAATTACCCCTAATAATAACAAGGTTTCATAGAGGTAAAGTTTAGAATGATGTTTCCCCCCGACTTGCAGGTTACCCTTTTTTTCAACAAAGTTACAGACATTCTAAATTTGAAATTGACTTTTTTTTAGTATTGCCACAAGGGGACATATACATATACATATGTCTCTAAAATATTTCTTTTCCATCTTAATTCTTTTTAGTGCAAGAATACCAAGCAGAATTGTCGGAGTACCAGAAAAAACATGATATACAGACTTACAAAATATTTTTGCCATTGCTTGTACAGGTATGATATAAAGCAAATGATTTACTTTATTATTATTTGCACAAAATCTTTATTTCTATTATTCACAGGTACATTGATGCAGCCAGTGTTTATTATTTTTATTTTACAATACATATAACACATATGAATACATATTACGTAATACAGTAAATCTGTATAATCTGAACACCACTGTCACCATAGAAATTGGGTGGATTAGACAGCATTTTAAACTATTGTATAAATACTGAAAGCAATTTTACATTTGCTGAAAGCAAGTTTACATTGTATTAAGCAAGATTTCTGAATACATACCTTCCAGATTAGACAGTTTCACTGTACAAGTATATATATGATAGAGCAAAATGTTTCAATATGCAAATTATAGATTATTTCTCTGCGTTCTTTATCAATATATATGTACAAGATAATCTTTTTTATTGCAAGATGCCATTCTTCATTTCAATGTTTATTGGACTGCGAGGAATGGCCACCTACCCAGTGGAGAGTATGAAGACAGGAGGAATATTATGGTTCACAGATCTGACAGCCACAGATCCTTATTTAGGCTTACCTCTGTTGACCTCAGCTACTCTCATAGCAATTATACAAGTGAGTGTCTGACCCCAAGACCTACAGTCAAACCTTGTTGTCTCGAACTCTGTGGGACAGAGAAAAACTTTGAGATATCTGAGGATTCGAGATATCAGGGGTAAAATACTTAAAGAATAAGTGGTTGGGACTTCTAAATTACTTCAACATATCCATGGTATTGAGATATCAGTGTTTGAGATACTGAAGTTCAACTGTGTTTTGCATGTAAACTTCACGAAACCTGTTGATCCTTAAGTAAAGACTGTGAATAGAGATTCATTTGAGGTACATTTCTCTGGAGGCATTTCTTAATTGTTTTGAACATAACTGAATTGCCATAGTCTGGTGATGAGGAAAGCTCTAAATAGAGATACCTCTAAGATAGAATTTGATTCTTTATGTGTCAAAGTGTATGTT